TAGAACAGCATTTAGAGCTCTTGTACATAGGGTCACTATGAGTCGCAAGCGACTCGATGGCACATAACAACAACAACAACTGATTTACTTAGAAAGTTCATATGCATTGCTTTTTGCAACAGATCTTTCCCATTTCCTTTTCCCACATCTCCCTCTACCCATCAGATTGTGTGATCCTATGATTATACCCCTCCTCCCCTGCCCATCCTCACTCCTCTGTTCCTATGCTCTCCACCTTGGATTCTCATACATGTTTTACTGGTTATCTTTCTATTTCTACAATAATGGTCTCCTACAGTATTTGTCCTTATGGGACCAGATTAGTTCACTTAGCATAATGCTTTCCATTCCCTCTCAAGTTAGGCAGTAATTTTCAAAATCATTACTCCTGTTTGCTGCATAGTATTCCATTGTGTAAATGTACCATAATATCTCAATCCATTAGTTTGTGTTTGGATGTTTAGGCTGTTTTCATGTTCTTGCGATGTTGAATAGAGCTTCTATGAATGATGGTGTACAGATCTCCATTTGTGCCTCAGTTCTCATTTTCTCAGTGTATGTTCCAAGCAGTGAAATAGTTGGGTCATGTGGAGTTTCTGTGGTTAACTATCTGAAGAAGCGCCAAACAGCCTTTCAGAGAGGTTGTACCATTTTACAATCCCACCAACAGCGTATGAGAGTTTCTATTTCCCCACATCCTCTCCAAGGTTTTTTCACTTGCTGTTCTGTTAAACTTTGCCACTGGTGTGAAATGGTATTTTATAGTGGTTTTGATTTGCATCTCTCTTAATGCCAGTGATTTTGAGCATTTCTTCATGTGTCTGTTGGCCATCTGAATATCTTCCTCTGTGACGTCTTTCCATATGACAGTAATTTTTTAATGGAAGCAAGACAATCTCATCTTTCTCCCTTTGAGCCAGTGACTTTGAGTTAAGCTGTTAAGTTTTTTTAACTACTAAATATTGTTATTTGGAAGCAGGAGCGACATCCACTTCCTAAACAACATGCCTCTGGAAACTCTATGAACTTTGATAAATGATGATAGTTATAGAAAAGCTTCAGGCTTTTTGTTCATAGGGACGCTATGGGTCGTGCTCAACTCGATGACAATCAACAACAACAACAACAATGTATTCTTGAGTGGAACCAGCCCACAGCTGACCCTTCTGCAGATTTTTAGAGGTAGGAAAACACAAAGGAGAAGATTGCCCATCTTTTTCCCTCAGAGCTGCTGGTGGATTCAAACTGTGCACCTTTGTGTTGGCAGTGCAATTCCTTACTACTAAGCCACCAGAGCTCTCACTATTCCACTGTTGTTCTTGTGTGCCATCGAGTCAAAACTGACTCATAGCTGACGCTCCCATGGGTTTTCAGAGGCAGTAAATGGTATAGGAGTGGATTGCCCATCTTTCTCACATAGAACAACCAATAGATTCAAATCACATGCCTTTTGGTTAACAACCTAACTCCCTACCACTAATGAAGAAGGATGGTAGTTGGAAAATACGGGCTTGGTAACAGAAACAAGGCTGGAGAATGAATGAGCGGATTTTACACATTTAGTGATTTATTTGT